TGTGTGTGTTGTGTGTGTGCGTGTTTTATTATTTTATTTTTGTTTTATTACTTTAATTTTATATTCATAAAAATAATAAAAATAAATATTTTTTAATTTATTATTATTATTACTATTACCAAGAAATAGCTTCAGGAATGGAAAAAGCATTTGACAAGAACTACAGAGATCTTGCCCAGAATCACCATCCACTGTCTGTTTGTCTAGGTGCTGAATTCATCTCACTTGTCTTCTCTATGCATTTCAATTAAAAAAGGATGAAACTAGAAAAGGGGAAAAATCTGCCAAAACAAATTCCAATCCAAATACATACAAATGAACAGATGAAAAGAGGCAGAGAACAAAGAGAGAAGGATTTGAATGAGAAGAAGTAGAAGAAGAAGGGAGACGACTCGCCCCTCCCAAAACAATCGATTAACGCCCCTGGTGATCTCTCCTCCCGGGCAAATGCCGCAGGGTGTGTGTGTGTCTTTCAGCTCAGGTGTAAGACAGAACTGAGCAAGGAAGACAGACATCTTTCCACTAACAGAAAACATATTGTATGATAAAAGGTAGCAGACGGTCTTACCTCCAAGATTTTGGGGTTGCCCTGACGGCCAAGGGTGCCTAGGATGAGGCCCCATCTCTGGGCTGAGCGGGCGCTCTCTATGGCCTGCAGTCTGGTGGTCCGCATTGCCTCATGGTCATAATACTCTCGAGAAAACACTTTACTGTATGGGTCATACCTACAAATATGGAGGACAACACATTTACAAACAATAAGATACTAAGAAAACAGAAAGAAGAACATTCATAAACTAGATTTTTTATTTTTTTTGAAGAAAATATGATAGTAGGATGTTGCCTGATATTTTGGTCCCTATTCATAGCTTGGATGCCTCTTTCCATGGGATTCATTTCCAATTTTTTGTCCACTGGGTAATTAATTTTTTGTTTAAAATAGAAATATGAAATGAACAAAAATGTATTAAGTTAATTGTAACCAAAGCTAAATGTAAAAAGAGGAAATTCAACTAAATGTTTCATTATCCCTCCACATTAAAAAGTACTAAATCAAATTAAGATGTAACAAAAGGATTTGATTCAACATCAGTAATGAATATAATATAATATAATATAATATAATAGTCTCTCGCAAATTAAAACAATAAGTATTATTTATTTATATTACAATAGCAGCCAAAAGGATGTCTGGTCTAAAAATAAGTGCAAAACACGTTTTAATTGTTTCATTTTTGATAATGCAATGAAACATGCAGAATTATGGGCATCTTGAACAAGCTGCCATACAAAGCTTGCACTCATTATTCCCAGCCTATAATTCAATCATTCACTGTGGCAGGTGTTATATATATTATTATATGTTATTTAATGTTTAAGTTTACAAAAAAGGGCAAAGAGGAAGGAGCTGTCCTCTGCAACCCTGGAGGATATTGCTGGATTTGTAGACCAAATATAAAATGGCTGAAGACTATGAGCCATAGCAATAAAGATGCTTGATTTAGGAAAAAAGTGTACAATTGCACATTGGTTTACCTGTAGGCAGGTATATCTGGGTTGGCAATCATGATGGATTCCAAATGAAATCTTCCGTCTCCAAGATAACTACAGACAGAAACAACTTTATCAGAGAAAAAGACAGTCTGAGAGGGCAGAAGGAATAAAACTCTGCTAACTCTGGGATTTGCATAAGAAAATATAAAGGCCAATGGGTCTCAGCCTAGAGGACTCATAAACCAGATCAGAATCGTCCTAACATTCAGCAAGCAATCAGGGTGAGACCTACTCACTCCAAAGTCACGGCAACATTAGCCAGACGGAAAGCGAGTCATAGACACGGAGGCTGATGGGCTACAATCCAGCTACTCCACAAATAAACCTGCGTGATATGATTGGGTCATGTCGCGGACAGCACGCAAGCAGAGCTCAACACACTGATTATCCTCTGCCGTGCCAACAGGAGAAGACCTGCCATAGTTAATGGGAGTATAGATTAACCTGGCAAACCTGATGGATGCCCTGGGGAAAGCAGCCGCAATTAGAAAGGCTAATTAAGACACGTTTATGAAACACTATGGAACATATTGTGGGTGGGATCCCCCAGGGCCCACTGGAGCAAAGGCTAAACCAGTCATCCTTCACTCTCACACACACATAGCGACAGAAAAACGCTCTTTATCGTTCATTCTTCTTGTCCCTCAAACATACCGGCTGCGTTAGATAAAGAAAAACGGTTTCGCTGCCTTGTACCCGCTAAGGGAAAAAAAGTAGGGATGCACAATATATTTGTACCATATCAGTTATCAGCTAATGTTAACATATTATTGGTTTAATTTCATTTTTCAAGCAAATTTTCAGTTTTTACTTCTAGCTAGGGCTGCACAATAAATCGCATGCGATATTTAATGCACATCTTGTCAGAAAGCCGGTTGCACAAAACCACGTTCATATTTGCGCGATTTTTTGCGCATTTCGTCAGTGAACAACGGCTCTGTGTAGTTAATGCTGCTCAATGTGAAAGCACGCAGGTGATTGAGAACCGATACAGAACCGGCTTTACTGATAAGATGCGCGTTAAATATCACATGCGATTTATCGTGCAGCCCTACTTCTAGCTAATCTTTGCTGTCAAGTTAATCTTCAAAAACACTAAAAACTTAATGACACTGTTAAATGTAATCTTTTGCAAATCTCATAATGAAAATTAGTTTTTTATTGTTTATATTTTAAAAATGCCTTAATTTGCCTGTAGTATTTAAAATGCTTGATAAAATTTTTGCTTTATTTTATTTTCAGCAGAACAGAATTTTAATGTCTTTTATTGATCAGTGTTAAAATATAACTCAACATCGTCTTATTGACCTTTTTTTTTAACAAATAGAAATTTCTGCCCAATAAATGTTTTAGAACTTGATATAATTGGAAAAACCATAATCATTATATAAATTTCCATCTTTTTTTTTTAGGTCTGGAAATCACACTTTTAAAATTCCCTTATATACAGTAAAAATAAACAGGGTTCCCAAGACAAAATAACACTTGCTGAAAGAACTAACTTTTTAAAGCCATTTAAGCCATTTTTAGCCCCCCGGAAGTGTGCCGAGGCCTCCTATGGTGGGTCCTGCCCCCTGGTTAAGAAACACTGATTTAGAAAAAGGTAGAAATGGAAACATACATTAAAAAGGTGAAACAATTGACTTCTTTGTTCAAGAGCTCTGTCAGATACCATTTTAATGCTTTCCACCAACCATGGAAACAAAATCACAGAACTACGGGATACCTTCAAAAATAAATGACTTTCTACCTCCTTATAGTGCACTACCCGCAAAGGAAGCATTTTTTTATTATTATTTTAGCTGTTGGACATAGTCATTCACCAAAAAAATCCCCCCTTCACACAAATTTTTCATTTTCCTTTATATGTTGCCATAATAAAACACAGCAATTTTCCTGGATTACTGCACTGTCTCTTTCAAGGGCCTCTATTAGAAATATTGCATTTATAGCAAAGGCAGTAAACGCTCAGAGGTTTTCCGGCTCAGCTTTTAACAGTATAACTTAAACGACCACAAATTGATGCATTTCGTGGAGATGGCACTATTGAGAATACAAGATTAGAAATGGCCCAATTTGCAGTTCTTAAAACTGCTTTTCACAGCACCGACCCATTCACCCACAGTTCAGTTCATTATGCCTTCGGCAATGAGTCAGAGCTCCCTCTTGCTTCAGAAGAAATCCCAAGTGGAAACCAGAGGTCTGCATGAAGACCTGCGGCGTTCGTCAAATTTGATTAAATACAGAGCGCTTTATGGTCCACTCAACTCAAAAGAGACTTTATGAAGGTGCCGATCGGCCATGAACCTGTGTCATTTTTCAACACAAAGCTGCAATCATCTTCTCCGTGGGACTTTATTCAGACCCCCGGCAAACATATTACTTCTTATGAGAAAGTCAGGCTCTGTATAAGCTTAATTTGCTGTTAATTATATGGTGGTGATTCGGCTTTGCAATATAACATCACATTACTACACCGTAAGTGTCAGAGAAAAGTTTTTAATTTGATCGCTGAGGGTGAGGGCAAAAGTGAATGATCTATGAAAAAGGCTATTTGCATATTAGCCATGTCATTTTGGGGGTCAGTGACATGACCACTTGTGTATGTCTAATGTTGACAGGCGCCCCGATGAAGAGGTGATGAGTGAAAATTAAAGTAAACACGCATCAATTCTCTTCCTCTCTCACCTAACACACACACACACACACACACACACACACACACACACAGACTAACATTCATCACAGACTCTGCACGCTGGATTAAGAGGCAGAAAGCACAAACACACACACACCCTCTCTGTGTACAGACACACACAGACAGGAGGTTTCCCTCTATCTCACAGGAGCAGAGCTTGCTGCTCACAGCCGCTGTGTGATACAGAGAATAATAGATCACACACACATATATCTGCTGCCTAATGTCTCGTCTCTGTGTTACAACAGCACTTGACACGCTTCTCATTAAAGACAGCTTGAAACTGCATTCGCAACGCATTTAACTTACGCAATGTGACATTTCAGAGAGAAACAATATTCCGCAGGTAATAATGTGAGGCGGGTCTTGGTGTTATCAGAATTTGATTGGGTTGTGAAAAGTAGCATATAATATTATTGGTTAGTATTATTTTTCCTACACATGAGGCCTTGATCACATCAGCAGAGTAGTAGTTTTAAAGAGAATGAAAATTATTTTGATGATAGTGTATGTATTTTTCTTGTTCTTTTGAACAACATGCACTATTAAATTTGTGCACAATAAAACCAGTGATACGTATTAAAGTAAACAGGGTCAATTTTGATTTCATACTGTATATAAAAGGCCATGCTTTATTGTGAATACAGGGTGCACACAGTGTACGCCTGCAATGCTTTTAGCTGTAACTATATCCACAATAAAGCATAACCTTGAGCACCTTATTAATTTCATTAAATGGTTTAAAATGTAACATAATATTTAAATGCAATTTTTTTTTATTACAACCTTAAGTATATTCATTCAATGCAATTGATCATTCATGCAATTCTTCCACAAGAAGATATAATCCCTCACACATAAAAACTAGAAAACATGCTCTCATTAGGTAAAAAAAAGAAATGAAATAAAATAAAATAAAGCTGTATTGGTTAATCTGAATCCAGGGCTGAAACTATCCATTTCAAATTGATACATACATACACACACACACACACACACTGACTTATTTTCATTCGAACAGTCTTACTACATGACAACACATACTCAACATGGGCTAGAACTGTTTTCCTTACATGATGGCATTGACATGTTTCTCCAGACGAGGCGAGGTGCATCCGAGGATCTCCCCAGGAGAAAGCGGCCGACACTGAGGTACCAACACCTCGTAATCTGGCTTCAACTCTGCACTGGCTGCCTGAGAAGAGAAAGGAAAGGGACACTGAGACCAAGGAAGCAACTTTTTTCCTACCAAAAAGGTGTTGTGCAGAAGCCAGTGCCCAATCTGGAACCACGCCACAAGTTTTCACCTTTCTTGAAAAGGTGGTTCTGGGCTGGAAGATTTGGCTCTAGGTCAACCCCCTAAACCTGCGGGTATTGAACCAAGAAACGGTAATGTCAGAGGTCCGAGGGCAGGGCAATGTTTGCACCGAATAAAGTTTTAATGAAAGGGCAGACTTAACTTTGGCTTCTTTTGGAACAATTTTGGCTGACGATTTTAAATGTCCAAATTTAGTCTGAAACTCAGGAACTCAGCATTAACTTCTTGCTTTTTTAACTGTTGTATAACAGCAATATCATAATGATGCTGAATGTACTGCAAAGTACTGAATATCAGAGCTGCTGTAATTATAATACATACCTACAATTCAAAATAATGGGGTTCGTGAGATTTTAAATATTTCTGAGAGAAGTCACTTATGCTCACCAAGGCTGCATTTATTTAATCAAAAGCACAGTGAAAACAGTAATATTAAGAAATATTATTACAGTTTAAAAGAACTGTGTTCTATTTGGACATATTTTAAAATGTAATTTATTCCAGTGAAAACAAAGCTGATTTTTCAGCAGCCATTACTCCAGTCTTCAGGGTCACATGATCATTTCGTAATAATTCACAAATGCTGATTTGGTGCTGAAGAAACATTTCCAATGCTGAAAACAGTTTTGCTGCTTCATACTTTTATGGAAAATGTGATGTATTTTTTCAAAATTCTTTGAATAGAAAGTTCAAAGGAGCAGTATCTACTTAAAACAGATTTAAAAATTTTTTTTTTACAAATTTGTCTTCATTGTCACTTCTGATTAACTGAATGTGTACTTGCTGAAAATTATAATTTCTTTCTCTTTAAAAAAAAAAAATAATTTGTGAACGCTATGAACTTTTAAATGCTAGCTTTCACACCATGTGAACTGATTGTTATGAATTTTATTCATTATTCATTATCATTTTATTCACGCTCCTGATGTCATAATACTGCTGAATCAAACTACTCTTGATGTTAAAATATGTTCTTAAACTCAAGACTTGTAAACAAAGGCTGCTTGTTTGTGTAGTAATATAGTCAGGTTCTGAGAGAAGCTAGCAGATCTGGCCGAGCACTGGCTCTTTTCAGTGGAAGGAAAGAGAGACAGATACAATCAGAGAAACAGTCATCCACAGCACATCTCCCAACACCTACAGGCTTTCCTTTCCAATGAAAAGGAAGCAAAGAAATGGTGCCAAATAAATTAAGGCAAGAAAGCCACAGTAATGCAACGGGGGCAGAAACATTACGGTTAAGATTTTGTTTCTGACAAGCAGAGAAAATAACAAAAACACATAAAACGTGTGCATTCACACCCCTCTGACCCCCAGCACCCACCCAGAGCACGGGAATGGGCCTACGCACACATGATACACAGGCCGTGCTATTTCCAGAAATAGCATGGGTCATTTTTAGGCAGGAGGGTGAAACCGACAGCGAGGAGGAGAGAGCGAAACAGGAACAAAAAGAAGGGAAGAAAATCTCACACTTATGTAAGGTGGAGTGCTGAGTGCAACATGACTTCTGATAATTCCTCCTCTTGTGCAGTTCAAAATAACTTTAACTGCATTTCACACCCACATACACAAACACACACTATTATAGGAGCAAACAAACACACACACACACACACACACACACACACACACGCGCGCGCGCAGCCTTATGTGCTGTCAGAGACCTTTGAAGCAGGACGGTAAGTGATAGAGAGAAAGAGAGACAGTAAACGAATCAGAGAACATCTTTAACTGCAGGGAATAGTTATCATTGAGTAAGAAGCGGGGGGGTCAAAGGTCACCTGTAAAGCAGCCACAAACTGGATGGTGCTGACGAGGGCGAGCGAGTGGCCAGGGGGAAAGTTGAACCTGAGTGTGTCCAGGAAGTGGGCAGTGTCAATCTGGATGTCCACAAACACGTACAGCATCTTGATGCCCTCAGTCGAGTCTATGGGGACTGAAGACACAAACATTAGCATATTTCACTCATCACACATCCAAATGATTATTTCATTCGTAGGTTGACTTCCTATTTTTTCTCTAACCTGAAAAATCTAAATTTGGCGTTCAACATTGAGTACGTTTACATGGACAACAATAATCCGATTTGAACACGATTAAGACAATACTCTGATTAAGAATCTACCTAAAGTCATATTCGAAGTAAACAGAAATCGAATGAAGACATGTGGAGTATTCCTATTTTAGTCACATTACTGAAGTGCAGAATAGACATGTAAACACCTTAATCACATTATTAGCGCCGCGTTGGACTTTTCGCCGCATTTTGCGACATGATACACACACGGCAGTGCTCAACCATTTGACGGCAAATAAAAGAGCTTCAACACCGCCATCGTCTGTATGCACGTACAAATAATTAACTGCACTTGAAGCTTTCATAAAATTAAAAATGAAACACACAAAACTGTACATGGCATCATCACGAAGACGAACTATATGTTTATACGTGAAATTCTGGAGGGGACGTCGGATGGCGTCAAGTGGGGACGTAATGGCATGTGCCCTTAATCGAACTATGTACTATAACATGTAAAACGGGAACATTAAAGGAATATTCTAAAAGCAACTCATGTAAACACCATAATCATAATATTGGCTTAATTAGAATAAGGTAAATAATTAGATTACTGACGTCCATGTAAACGTAGTCATTGTTTGTGCTACAGACTCAAATGATCCCACAAATCAAATGGTGCACTCAAGTCCTTCTGTGAAGTTTGCATTTACGATTTTGGAAGTCGTAATTAGGACGCCAGATGCGTTCAAATCCCTTTGGTCCAAGCAAGATGGCATGTATCTTTTCTACAAAAAAATACAGCAAGTGTTTTTAACTCTACTTCTACAAAATGATTAATAAAGAATGTGCATCAGGTATGTTTTTTGCTTTTTTAATGTTATTCATTCAATTTATGAAGGTATTGTAAACTGAATCATTTCGTAATTGCACAAATTTTGAACATGCAAATTTGCTAGTTTTATGTCAAATGTAAACAAAAAAAAATCCATTGTTGTAAACAAATTTATGGGTAATACAGATGCCACTTCACTGCATATTTTGAGTTTTTAGTCTGTGTTCAACACGTTAAATATTATCTTTCTGACATTACTTGAATGCACCAACAGAATCACCTGGCGGAAAAAATAGGCACAACAATTTCTTTCACCCAAAAATTGTCATCATTTAGGCCTACTCACTCTCATGTTGTTCCAAACCTGTATGACTTTATTCTTAGAATCACAACAGAACACATTTTGAAGAATGTTTCAACTGTCTTGTCCATATAATGAAAGTCAATGGGGTCCAAAAAAAGAAGACGTTTTTCAAACAACTGTGCTCACAGAATAAAGAATTCAGGTTTGGAATGCCATTGAGTGAGTAAATGATCCTGGATTTTTCATTTTATTATAAACCATTCCTTTTTAGATCCATCTGAAATCTCACACTGTGAGAGTACTGCATTACTTGAAAAATTTCTCAACCTTTGTTCTACTGTACAAGTATGCACGTATATAGTATATATATAGTATAAGTACAACCCGCACAAACTAGCACATAATAGTTAATTGTCATAAACTGCAAACTCACAACAAAGTAAATAAATGTCTTGAAAACTCAGAAAAGTTTGTGTTAGTCAGCCTACCTCAGATCTACTGATGACAGTAACTGAAGAAAAGATAAAATCGTACAATTGCTATTAATGCCATTCATTTCACACCCCATTTAAAAGACAGCAGAGCTGAAAGAGGAAGGCGGGCTTCAGTCTTCTCCCATCTACATTATCATTTACTGCTGATGGTCATAATTGCTGCTCTTCTTGTAGCATTCTCTTTAAAGCCCATGCTCTAATGGCCATTTCACTGCTATTAGGCAAATGCCACCTTTAGGGAGTGTTTTAAACACGGAGCCCATCTAACCATGTAAGAAAAGACGGCAAGACAGTAAAGCAAGTGGGAAGAGAGGAAGTAAATCTACCTCTCAAAGCAGGAAGATCAACAGAGGCTTCTCAGCAAACACACATTGCTGAGACATCTATGAAAGAGTACATATTTTGGAAAGCACTGCATATTTTAAAGGAGTAATTTAACCAAAATTGACTCATTCTTATATAGTTCCAAACCTGTATGACTTTTTTCTTCAGTGGAACATATACAAAGTGGAAATATCTCAGCGTTTTTTTCCAACGGTAACCAAAACGGTTTACCATGCTTAAAAACGTTTTTTGAAAATCTCAGGAAAAGATGGACAAAGTGAGAGAAATATTTATTATAAAGTAATATTTCATTCAATACTTAAAAGTATGGTTAAAAATAGTTTGTGCGCATGTGTTCATGTTTGTGTGCTATGTGTTATTATTATGCTTTTAGAGTACTGTGCTGTTAGCTTAGCGACATGCTAACATCACAGCTTGATTGAACTGCATGTCAATCTGCTTCTTCGAGTTGTTACCTATGTAGAGTGTTCCAAATAAGTTTCCGTGGCGTTTAGGATGATCCCTTAGAAGGCAGCTGCCTTCATAGGCAATAAGCAACGAGGAAGGTTTTAGAACAGAGCTACTGAATAGATGTCAAAGACAATGTTTACAGTTAGTTACTAGAGGAATTGATATACATGACTGAGTGGAGAGAAAGAAAAATTTTACCGACTGTGGCAATAAAAGTTTTATTCTTGAAAGTTTTGCATTTAAGTGGGTCACTGTCAGAATGCACATACATACATACAGGGCTATTTTTATACAGGCATGAAACACACAAGAGGCAATAACCTCTTTCCGCAGGTGCTAGAAAACAAAAGAAAAAGACGTGGAGGGGCCGGGGGGGTTGAAGTTAAGTGGAATCGATCCATTTCTCTTATCCAATTAGCACGGCAGACTGAGAGCACTTACTCACTGCAATTACAGCTGTTGTCAATAAGTCATGAATTCAGTCACGGTCTCCATCTGTAAGGGTGGTTTCCCTACAGTGGTTCAGGCTGCGGGATTGCCGAATGACTAAAGAAACGTTGTCAGCACGATGGTATAAAACTGTACATTTCTAGTCTATTACCACCCACTGCCACTTATACCAACGACGGAAATAAGCGCAGTTAGAATAGCTAAATATGTGGGAGAGCGTTGTTATTAAGTGACTATATTGTATTGTAATAGGTAGCACTTCAATATTAACCTTGAATCAAGACTAGTTAGCACATAATTTATAATTGAAATGGTTTAATAACAATATTTTGTTATGGTTACACTGAATTGGTTACAAAATAGATGAAGGATGGTAAAACATATAGTTAATTGTACCCAATATGTATGTAAAATATTACCTGAGACAGAAAGAGAGAGGGGGGCATGGAGAGAGGGAGAAAAAAGAAGGAGAGAGGGCAGAGCCCCGAGAAGAGAGCACCAGCAAAGAAATGGCGCTTTTCCACTGCGTGGTACGACTCGGCACGGCTCGGCTCGGTTTGTGTTTCCCCTACAGTTTAGTACCGCTTTAGAGTGGGCGGGATTATTCACATGTCGTTATAGTTGCGCCGCCTCTACTGCCGCGACTCCTGAAAAACTTTTTCATTCCGCGGCGCCCCCATCAAGCTCTCGCTGGATCCGCTCCTCTGCTATCAAGGAGAGGAACGTCTGTACTTCTTCAACAGACCACGAAACAGCCACTTTTTGGTTGTTAAAAAAGGTGCGCTCGTTCAAAACAGTTGCATCCGATCCTTCGCTGGCTGTGCTGATTTAAATCTAGCGGTTCTGTTGAGTTTGTGTCGCAAGTTCAGTGACGCAGGTAGTGACGATTCTCTCCGGCCAATCAGTGATCAGCAGAGTTTACACGTCACATTTTGGTAACGGTACGGTTCACTTGGAACCTCAACCGATGTGGTACTAAAAAAAGTACCAGGTACTGTACCCAGTGGAAAACCCCCCAAAAGTGAACCATACTGTGCCGTACCATGCAATGGAAAAGCGCCAAAAGAGGCAGCAAAGAGAAAGAGGCCAGAGCAACAGTTGCAATCTTCTTTTATCTCTTCCTTGACCATGTGACTAAAAACCAAATGCGAGACATTCAAACTGACCAATCAGCAGATTACAACTTCACCCACTGTGCAAAAGGTGTGACAATTAGAAGACCCCCGATGTATGCGCATGTTGGCCTACAGGCTTTGATCAATATCAGCACTTTTGTGCCTTCTGGAATGCTAAATGGCCCTTTTGTTACTCAAGATAGGTTTGAGACAGGAAAGCAGAAGTCTTTGATCATTTTTGACCCTACAAAGTCCCCCCTTGGCACCATTGGCCACACCTAAAGAGGCAAAAGGTGACATAGTCCATGAAAACATGCTTTCTGTTGTGTGCAAATGTCATCTTCAGACTTCTGGTCCAAACTTGTTGCAGTGGCAGCTGGTCAGTCTTTGTTCTCCTTTCAGCCCTGTATGAGAGATCTTCATCGAATGGTGTTGCACCCTTCATAGATATGCAAAACGTCCATTGAATACTTCACACCTCCACAAGAACAGGCACTGAACATGGTAGAATCTGCTTGTCCCTCTTTCTGAGGCAGTACACAGGATGTGAACTTATGCAGAAGGAATCCTGTGTTTTCAAAAGAGCATATGGCACAACAAACAGCAAAAGTATACATGGCATTTGTCATTGGTCAGAGGTTTGATGTGGTCAGATAGAATCTGTCTCTGGCAAAAAGCCCTTAAATCTATGTACTTAAAAAGATGGTCAAGGTGAGAACAAAAGATGATCTGAAAAGCTCTTACACTGTTTTTGGAAACAATAAAATAAATTGCATTACAACAAAATCAACAATTGTTGGTTCTAACACCCCCTTCATCAATAAGAGTATCAGCAAAATATTCAGTGTAACCAAATACAGATTAAATTGTCCAAAAACAATCACTGTTTCAACTGAAATGGACAAAATACAAAGCAAAAATCAAAT